TTATAATAATTGATAATGACAATCTGTCCTGTGACGTCACATATTAATATCAGTATTCATGTTATTTTTTATTTTATAAAATGGTACATGTAATTTAATGAATCACGTGGTCGTATTTTGTTTCGGGCAAGCATGAAGGCAACTCGTAGAAAAATAGTGTGTCCTCGAACCAAGTGCAATTCCGTGGTAGACACGAGCCCTAGCCGCTTTGTCACCCGTTTCACTGTCACGTTTACCTTCTCCCAGGTATTTCTCCGACGTAAAGCCTCTCGTCGCCTAAACTTGGCAACCTCAAATTACTCGGAAACTGTTTCATCCACGAGCGAAGTTCGGTGAAACGCCGGATGGTTTCCATATAGGCCGTGACGAGATAAATTTTTTATCTTCTCTATAAAACTGTAGGATCATTCAAGGCTTCTCGAATTATCTCATATTCCTCCCGTCGAATTGTTTGAAGCTGTTAACAGTTTACAATTACACGATTAATTCTTTACTCGAATAACGGAACGCGATGGGACGATACTCGACGCTACGAAACTTTGCTTTCAGTGTAAAGTTTCCGTTTCCCAAACCGAACCCTCTATCCCCCCCCCCCCGTATCGGACGCATCGGTTTCCAAGAACTCTGTGTTCGAAACTAGTTCCCATCCGGCCCTTCGGAGACCAACCGGATTTATGACGCTGTATTTGTTTGCATGCTTAAGCTAAACGAAGATTTAGACCCTTGAAATCTCGTCGCAAACAACTATTTCATACAAAATCCAAATTGGTATGATTCTAGTCCACTTCCTATATTCTAATATTTCCCAAACTCTTCAGAATAATAAACGTTCTAAGAGAGCAAACAGTATCATATATCATTTATAACGATCGGTGAACCGTCACTCAATTTTGCTGAACTAATAAATCTCAGTTTGCTAAAACATGATAAATCATGTTTAAACTGATCCCTGAATCTCATAGATTCCAAAAAGTATTTAGAAAAATATAAAAAACGACCTCGCCAGGCTCGAACCATAACAAACTCGGAGATCGCCATAATAATCGGTAAGCTTTTGGACAAGCACTATGCAATATTTCACGCGTTTAGGGGACAGTCTTGTCACGGGAGGGTGAAAAGCGAAACAAGCTTTTCGGTCGACGGAGGGAGGGCGGGAAAAATTCGTGGTACGAAAAATATTGCTTGTAAATTTCCGGTGGGCACCAACAGTATATCTTCTCTGTGTCGCGCCCTCTTCTTTCCCCTCCACCGTTCCGCCCTCCAGATTTGTTTTCGCGTGCGCATTTTTAACGATAACACCTCGATGAAGCGTCGGTTCCCGTTCATTCCGCGTGGCCGTAAATTTTTGCGTCCCCACTCGATTATACTCGTTCAAAGGCAGCCGCCATTGTGCTACGCGCCGTTGTGCATCCTTTGTGAATATTTGATACACCGCGTCGGCCGGCGAAATTAGTTTCACGTCATTGAAAGAAAAATACGATTCTTATCTGGCGAAGCGCATGAAATACATATATTTGTTAGACATCAGATAAATCGTGTTCGGTCATTGGAATGAATTCAGCTGAACGTTTTCACGATTGGCAAATACGTTTTACATAAATTTAAGGAGTTAATTGTTTGAAAATGTTGCGCGTTAACGCATGGGGATGATTAGGAGTAAATAGTTGACGATAATGCGTTTGGCTCAAGCGTTTGATTCGGTTCCGTTGATTCATGGCAGTCGTAAACGTCACATATTTCACCACGGTTCCCATCACTGCCGTTAGATGCTATCGTCCGGACACGCAGTGGCACGCATTTAAATGAACGACCACCGTTTCGAACAGCAAACTCCGGCGAAGAATCAATTTCTCTATTAACGAATCGCGAAATCATCGCGCTTTCAATTTACACGCGTGCATATGATAATTCATATATTAAATGACAATAAATAACAGAATCACATGACTGATAATGGCATATAATTGATGTTGATGAAAACGAGGCCAGTAAACCTGAGAAGAATTATTAAATTGTAACAGAAGAGCTCAAGTGAATCGCGTTAGCAATTAAGTAGTGCAGGACAGTAACTGGTCAGACGGAATCAATAGGAGACATTGGAGCGCGCCTAATCGGCGAGGTAACTACGTCAAAGTATTCAACTAGCCCAGTCGATGGCATAACTGGTAGCACCAGGCCCAGGTTAATCAATACTTCGTTCGAACTACTGGGGGGGCCAAGTAGTTGTAGACAATGACTAGTCGGACCCTCGGCTCGGCTCGTTCTCGCTCTCTATCTCGAAACACGGCCGCAATTACCGCCGCAGATTTCCACAACCGGAACTATCACTCGTTAACAGTTAGACATTGCCGGCTATGATGCCCGCGTAACTTCGATTACGTAATTTCACCTGGCAAAGAATTTTCATGATCTAATCTAATCTTAAAGTTTTCGTTCATTAAAACATAAATAATTGTTTTTGACGAAATTCGAGTGAAAAGTTGGAAGCAAACTCGAGCTACATTTTGTTCAGCGAAATATTTATTTGGTTGTTTTTTTTAAAACAACTTGGAAGTAACTCACTGGCGAGGAACTTCGGAGCACGAACCGTGACGTCGACACGGATTCGACACGGGAACCGAAAAGACACCGGATACGATTTCTTATCTCGTTCAGACGAACACGGTGCACGATGCCGCGAAACAATGCAAACCGCGGAAGCGGATTTCGAAAGTTTCTATCGCTACAGCCTCTGTCTCGCATTCGAGGATTCGCGAAACTTCCTGTAACGTGGCCAAGGAGTATAGAATGTACAGAATGTCACGCGAAATAACAGTATCTCTTAAGCGAACGCAAGAGGTTTGTGGATAAACGAAAAGCAAATTGTAATGATAAATGGAAAGGTAGGATGAGATGAGAAACGATACACAGAACGAAGTACGATTAAGATTGCTTATGCTTCACGTTAATGCAATTATGCAATGACAATGAATTCCAATTCTTTTTGCGCTAAATTAATCTAGAAAATGTATTAAGCAAAAAGAGAGAATTCTCAAGGGATTAGCCTGACGGTGGGGAAGAAACCCAGGTTCCTTGGAGTAGTTACCGAGGGAATTTACGAGATACGATTAACTCGTTTTATAGGTCGTATCAATTTTCACGTACCACCGACTCTTAAATTAATCGATCCGCGAGTAGCCCCTTTTGGAGAATCGCCATTCGCCGGGCAAACGACTTTGCTAGTTTTTGTAAATTGTTTGCCGTTATAGTTAATGGAATTAGGGTAAAGCCTATAGATCTTTCGACTAAATCAGAAAAGAAAAGCTTATAATTGTTCTATTAATGTAAACTTAAAAGTTTCCAAAAACAGTTTTAATATTTCACACAAGCTGTTTTTGTCTAAAACATTTCTAGACTCGTATCAATCATAATGCGACCGTGATGATGTAACAATGGGAAGAGATATTAAGGTAACTCTTGCAAAATGGGGACTCGTTGACAATAATGGAGCGAATTCGAGAATGTGATGCAGGAAGTTTGGTAGAACTTAACGCGTTAAGCGCGAAGTCGGTCCCGGACCGAATGGCTTATAAGATTGCGCCCGGTCCCATGCCAATTAACGTGTTAATTTCGCTCGGAGGGGCAACGACGAGTTCTCCTTTCGTACTCGCGACGAGAACGCGGAATTAAAGTTGTCGAATTGAAGGGATTCGCCAGGGCCGAAGAGTAGCACGCGCGCGGAACTTCCGGTTAAGTTTAACCGGGACTCACCAATGTTGACTCAACGCTCCTCGCTCTGAGCCAATCTCATCTTTAACAAGCGAAAACTTGGAAAACGTTTCGGCGCACGGGTTATTACCTACCGCTTTCTTAATAAGAAATCGAGCCATTTAGACGATAAGCGAATTTTCCAAGTTATTGTAAATTAAACAAAACGAGTGAACGAGAGAATTATTATTTGTTAACTATAACAATTCCTTGGATTGTAATTAAACAGCATTTAGTGTCATATTTTGTTTATGTAGATGAAACTTTTAGAAGGAAAGTAATTAAATCTAAGTGAATTTCTAAGTGGAAATCTCGCGATGGGGCTAGCGACACCGATTTATCTTCTGCTGGTTTTAACTAAAGATTCCTTTGAAGGGATCTAGGGAAAATGCATGTACGTATACGTTTATAAATGTACGTCGAATTCCGAGGAAATTGGAAAAGTTAGCTCTTATCGAAGTGGCTGGAAAAGCATACCGCGAACTGGACAAAAATACTTCATTTGAAATTGGAGAACATTACGAACTAGTGGGGGGCCGGTTATTTCTTACGACTTTTCTTGAGACAACATATTCCAAAGATTTCTACAGTTATTAGATATAATTGTGTGCTTATTTTTTATCATAAACGATTCCATAATGTACTTAATTCAATTGAATGAAAATCATTGTATGAAAAAATTGAACGGCGACAAGTAAGTTTTCCAGAAAATTTGTAGTCAAAGAGAACACCCTCGGGTATCAAATTTCTGTAACCCCGGTTTGCACAGTGCAGCGTCTCGAAGTTCAAAGCTCGCCGCGACGCGGCAGGACTGGAAGGGAGGGAGAGGGGGTGACAGGTTGAAAAGTTCGCAGCCCTTCGACTTCAAAGCGGAGTAAAACCGGTCTCTAATTTCTACTTTCGCAAGCAATTTTCCATAGGAGAGTGGGTTTTACTGCCCGCAGTACAAGTCGAAGGGTGCGCGATACCGCTTGATTTATCGAAGCGTAACGCGATTACCGATATTCCTCAGCCTTTATCGCTCTGATCCTCTGTCTCGTTTATGCTAATCGGGAATTATTAATCGGTTCATATACGTCACACGGTAACCTCTGGATTTGAGAGCCAAGATGTATTGGGGTTGGATGTGTTTGTAAGGGACATAAATATTGTCCAATTGGTTTATATTATATATTTTAATGAGCAAAATGTATTTAATTAAATTCATGGATTTATGTGTGATTTAAATTAAAGAACGTTTCTTGTTGTTTCAGGACTGGCACACGGAATCAGATGTTACGTATGCGGACAGTACAACGAAGGAGTGGGCAGTATCACGCCCTGTATCAATTACACCGCTCACATGCATCTGAAGGAGTGTCCTGCCTCGGCCGAATGGTGCATCGTAAGTAAATTTTGTCCATTCCTCTGGAATTTATTGATTTAACATTTTCAATTCATTACCTCCTCTTAATTTCATTGTATTCTTTATCTTCTCGTATACACGTTAATAATGAATCGATAGTCGTGATTTAACGGGAATAAAAAGGCGTGTTTAACCGCGATGCCAGGGCCCTAATCGATTTCCCCGAATGCACCGGAAGACGAGAGCTTCCGTTTGGCCAGGTTTAGCGTGTTTGCAAGCTTGCAACAACCGAACGCAATCTGCTCAGCTAAATCCGGCGTTGGAACGAAAAAACGGGTAAATAATGCCGACTTTGGAAGGGTGTCAAACGATCTGATGGCGCCGCGACGTCGACCGTACCCCGATCCCCCACGCCCCCACTTTTTTCCCTATTCCTTTCTCTTATTCCGCGGAATACGAAATCCGGCTCTTCCAGTTCATCGAGCTTCCGAATGCCGAACGTTCTTTCCTCCGGAGGCCTTATACTTTATTCCGTCAGCGTGCCACGAGACGTTTGATGCCCCGTTATCGCGGTAAAGTATCGTTTCCGGGACTTTGTTCGCGCCACAAGAATACCGGACTTGCCTTTGGAACGGAGTTTCAGTTCCCAAACAGTGTTTCCGGGTATTAGAGGTTCTTCGGAGTTTCAAGCAGTTTCCGAGTGAATTGTGGCGGATCGCAGATAGTTAGAGAAGAAATTAGATAACGAGTCTACATTTTTTAAATAGATAAGAATTGTTAGGAGTTCCCACTAATTGATTAGATGTTCCTTTAAGACGTTCGTTTAGTGAGTTTCTCCATCTTCATTAATTGCTATAGCGGAATTTCATTAAGATCCACCATTTCCTCGAAGCAAATGTTAGGATCTTGTTTAAGGTTCATTTTCATTAGCTTTGAAAGCCGCGAAGCGCAATCAGCAGTCTCTTTATTCCGCGGTGTATCGTTTCAGGTGCCTTTATTCAATTTCCATCCGGTCGAGTCTTTCCCCTCCGCTCGATAAACTTGCGATGAAAAACAGAACCGCCTGCCACCACTTTCATCAGTCCGAAAGGCTGCAAACCTCGTTACTGGGAAAACAATTCTTAGCCAGAATTGTGAAGCTTCTTTCATCCTTTAATTTGATCTTATCACGTTATCACGTCTGCTTTGATGATTGCAAGAAACAAAAATCAAAGAGAAAAATCAGTCGACTCGGCAATAATTCAATTAATTCTATTCGTTAATTGTATGAAATTAATTCTACCACGAGGATCTCTTATCGTATGATGTCATATTATTACAATATTTATGTACCTTAAACGGGGAACACGGGAAACGTGGCCAAATTCGTGACATCGTTTCCGTTCTTTTCGCAAGCGCCAAATAATCCGCGATATTAAATCCTTTGATCTCCCGCCACGGACGCGGGAACAAAGTTGGCTGCGATTTCGCGTAGTAAAAATTCCTGACGGCGAAAGGAAACAGGATTCGCGGTAATCGATAACGGCGCTTCCAGCTCGTCGGAACGATACCTGCAATCGTAATTGATTCTCATTTGGCTCTCGATCAAAGAAATCTCTCTGACGTTCACCAACCGCTCGGGTTTCATCTACTTCTCGTGTAAGATGGATTTGAAGAAAAAGGGATTCTTGATGATGATAAGAAAAAATCTTGTCAAATGAATTGGCTCTTAAAACGATAAGAAAGAATCTTGTCAAATAAATTGGCTCTTCAAATAATTTTTCATAAATTTTTTTTATAATTTTTAATACCGTGTATGCACATTATATTTGTGTTTTATTTTCTGAGCAGACTTTTATAATAGACCATAAGTGATTGTATGCATTTGGTAGAATAAAAATACGAAATAAACAAGATATAAGAGAAAGATGCATGGCACATTAGATGAAATATAAAATAAAACTATTTAGAATTAATTGCTTCAGAGATACTAAATCTGAGAAGATACTATAGAGCCGTAATTTCCGTTTGATCGCGAGTCATTTAAATCTCTTGGGCGGAAACTTTTTCTCTTACGTCCGAACGAGATTATTTAGAGTCTAAGCCGGGTGAAATTAGTGGCGAAAAACCAGGGAAACTTTCAATGAACTCCGAGAAGAAGTCTCGGGAGAGACAGAGTATTGTCTGAGAAACTAGAGCAGAACACTTAGATCGCGATCGTTTAATTGCGGGTAATCGTCGTTGTTTCCAACTCGCGGCTCTGTTTCGTGTTTTTGTGCGCCGAAGGAACGAATTGTCCCGCGAAGAGACATGTTCCGTTTCATGCCGGGGACGTTTCAGGCCATCCTTGAGAAATTACACTTCCAGTAGTATTATTCATAATTTATGTCTGAAGAAAGATCAGAAAATAGTTCTCCAAGTTTGTAAGCAGCGTACAAAACTTCTCTCAACGAGACGGCATCAAATAGGCGAATTTATGCCGTGCTCTTTGAGAGCGCGATAACAGAAATTATTCCAGTTCACAATGAAATTACACTTCGGTCTTATCTGATAATAATAAAACTGCGCAGCGGTCGTTAATAAATTTAGAGTGTGCGTCTCGAGGAATTATAAAGTGCGCCCCTCGAGTCTGCTCTGAGACAGTGGGGGTGCAATTTTCCTTTCGTTATTGCAGCGGACTCGTCGAGAGCTTTTTTCTCCCTCCTAAAAGGGTTGGTTAAAAAATGAAAAGAAAATGGTCTGCGATAATAGGGTTTCCAAGCTTTTGTTCTTCCTCTGGATACGGTGGTAATATGACTACCACCGTGAAAAACTGCGAAACGCATAAGGGTTGTTTTAATAAAGACAAGAATTATACTTCATTCCCAGCCGTATGAAACGTAAACTCGTCGCAAAGAGATTAATAAATTATCCTGCGTGATTAAATAAAATTTCTCTAATACACGGTAATCCATTTTTTATTTGGAGATTTATTTATGAAGTCTGATACATCATTTTACGTTATCTCAACTTTTTTGTCCTGATTCGAATAAGGTTATAATTCTATAAATCTCGTCTCCATTATCCTTTTCAAAGAGGAAATTGTGAAAAATTGCCAAGATGATCCACAGTTCATTTGGTGTAGACAATCGATTCGCGCATTCCAAACGATGATTCTTCGGCCGATAGTGCGGGAAGAACGGGTGATCTCGATATCCGGGCCATTTCTCGCTCCCGCGAGCCTTCTATTATTCCATTTCGGTTTACCGAACGAGCTTTCGCCCGTTCGGCTGCCACGCGGCCGATGGGAAAGATCCAAAGTGAGAGAATAGAACGGGAGGGCGGTAACCAGGCAACCTGGTTAAAGGAATGGGAATACATGGGAAGAAAGCTCGATCGCGATGTTGATTAGATCCACCCAGTTTTATGAAGATTCTACGTGAGAAGATTCTTTCCTCCCTTTCCCGTTAGGCAATAGCAATTTAATTTGCATAATCCTTCATTCCCGATTTAGAAATCGCTAAAATAGAAATTCAGAAAGTTTCGTTAACTCTTTATCAAAAAATGACTAGGGCATGTAAATGAAGCTGTCTTCTTTTTAAACACGGGCTGGATCAATTTCAACAAGGAATAGTGGGAAATTCTGAGTTGTACAAACGTTATGGTTGAATCGTCTGACGTGACGGTTAAAACGTTAATTAGTACCAAGGCCGCGTTGGCGTTAGTAATTCGGAGGCCACGTCGGTAGAATACCCGAGGGTTGAGCCACCGCTGCTATAATAATGCAGTCACGGGTGTGCCGATCTAGCCGGAAGCCAGGACGACTGGGGAATGGCGGCGGAGTCGAAGAGACAGCAGAAGCGGATACCAGAGCCAGATGACCCGTTAATTCATGACGATCCACGGTGTCACGGTGGGTACCTCCTTCGAGGCTCCATGAGCCGCGAGACACGTGCACGAACACGATAAACAGATTACCAGATTCGATTACGTATCGATTAACCCTGTTGGCAGCCAGACCGAGAGTCGGCTACGATTGGCATTGTTCTTTGCCGGTGGTGGCGTTTTGATAGAATGGGTCTCGCAATGGATTTATCAATAAAGAAGATAAAGCTTGTTAAATTGAATTCAACGATTCAGCGATTCCTCCTCTAGCTTCAATGATTTGTATAACGATTGTACATTTTTATTATCGTGGAAGATAAAAATAGAGATTATAATTAGAGAGCTAAAATCTTGTATAAAAAATTACGTCAAAATGCAAACTAGTACATAAGCAGTTTTCATAAAGAAGAATCGGTGTTTATACATAATTCATGTAGTATGAGAAAAAAATGTAAATTGGGTTGATTCTCGGAAAATGAGAAACGAACCGATTTCTGGGAAGGAGATGAATCGGAACGCGATAACTGCACGATGGGAGCCACTCCTGTCGACAAATGCTGTCGAAATCGATCTCAATTTCGCGCATTGAGGTCTGCTCTCCCGTAACGAACGGTGCCCCATAAATATTCCAGATGGTCGGTCAGACTCGATTGAATCACGGGGCGAAACTGGATTCTGGCACGCTCGAAATATTTCAACGAGCGTCTCCTGCTCCTTCGTGAATTTCGTTCGTTCTCTTCCAATGGAATTATTTCCTCCGGCTGGGAGTGGGTACGTGGGGAAAACGGAAACAACAAGTATACCGTGGAATTATTTATAAAGATTTACCAGGACGGGTTTTCGTTCGATGGTACTGTCTGGCACAGCAACATTTTTACCCACTCGGTTTCTGATTTTCTCCTGAAACAGTTCAAGTAATAGTTATCGCAATATTACGATAATATAATTATTTATTACTTTTCCAGTAACGAATTCAAGTAATATTTGTAACACGTAAAGTTTATTAACATTTAAAGAATTACATAAAATATTTCACTGTTGAAACCATAAATTATTTACGAACTCCACGCTTAATGATCATGACACGCAATAATTTTTCTGTATAAATAATAATAGTAAGTAGTCCGAAATGGATAAGAAACCGGACGTCGCGGATTAAGTTCGTTGTCTGTCAATGAAGTCGGGAGAATTCTTAT